TATTTTTTAAAGAGAGAAACAAAATAATCCCAAACAGAATAACTCACTTAAATTTTAATTTGAATATGTCGAAGCAACCAGGAATTTATCGCTATGAATCTTTTTCTTTTTTAAATGTCACATGCCTGACGGTTAATTACGTCGGAACGAATTTGTTTTCCTTCATTCCTGACCTTATCTGATAGCTTTTTTACAGAAATACCAAAAAAAAAAATCGAATAGTAATTTCGACACAAATCAATTAAGTTAATTAGAAAGATATATTCTCCTAATTATTATTATTAACAGTATTATTATTACTGTTATTGTTGTTGTCGTTGTTGTTATACTGCCGTTATTGTAGTAGTTGTTGTTATTGTTGTCATAGCTACTATTACTGTCCGTTTTATTGTTGTTATTGCATCGCGAAGTATTTCAGCAATTTCAAAGGATTGCATTGATTGATATTTTCAACGATTTTACCAAATAGTTGAAATGAAGCATATTTTTGCTCTCCGATAATGTTTATTAATTTGCCGTTATCACTATCAAAATGAAATTAAATTATTAGAGAGTAGGAATACAATTACTAATAGAAACTGGCAACAGTTGTTCTAATTTCAAAGTAATTGAATTGGAAATAACGATTTTCAAGAAAATTAAGTTTCTAATTGACTTCGGAAAAAAAAGTTTTGTCCGTAAGAAAGAAATTCAAAAGAATGTTTGAATGCAAAAATTATTCTGATTTCTGGACTTTGATATATATACTTTAAAACAAGAAATTCATTGTAAAGTCCAAAACTTTCATTCCAGCTTTAGTATCATCGTAACTCAATTGGGACAAATTTTTGCTGCGTTGAAATTAAACTTTCGGAAATGGAATCATGCATGGTCGCATTTTATAAACTAATTTAATGTTCCCTAAGCCTTTTTAGATGATTATATCCAAACACATAATATTTCGATAATTCGATGATACACAATAAAAAAAAATTCGGAAAAAATTTCTAAATTTCAATTTGTGTAATTAAATTTCAGTAACAATTGAAGTTAGTCACTAATGAATTATGACGGAAGACATTACTTCAGTTTTTTTCAATATGCTATTTTATTAGTGGTGAAGAAGAGGAAACAAATAGATCCTAAAGATTCCGACACGCCATTTTTTTAATTAGGATTTCTTAAAAATGTTTTTCAGGTACGATGCTTATCGCACAGTGATTTCTCCCTAACTTTACAAAATGCAGAAAAGTTACTCCGTGAGGGAAGTTGTTCTCGTCGTTCAATGCTCAATTGTGATTGTTCTACCTGTAAGCCACCCTCTAAATTCTTCCGAAGCCATGAATTGGAATATCAAAACGATGTTACCGTACAGGTGGCATCAACATCGATAAAAGTTGCGGAAACAAGTAGCATGTTGATGAACCTTGATTATGAATCTGCTCAACAATCAGAAGCTACAGCCGAAGAAAAAAAGCTAATAGAGTCCGTGAAAAGTCAGATGACAGGAAAACCTGAAATGGAAACTGCTAATATCGGTCATTGTGGTCATTATGATCCAGTTCTTTTCTCGTTAATTTCATATGTCATACTATTTCATGTTTGTTATTAATTCATTCCTGGCTTACAAACTACCTTATATCTTGCCAAGTAGATCTTACACAGGTATGCATAGGCTAGACTGTTAAAGGACTTCCAAGGTCAAATGGTGTATAAGCATTGGTTAATGATAAGTTCCTGTACGTTCATGATAGTTGAATCCTTATTTATTGTTCATTAAACTTTTACCGCAAATGCAACTAGTATATGACGCAGGTCTCCGCTACCTTTGTTCAGTTATGAAATCAGTAATGAACAGCAAATCATTCCATTCAATTTATGGTAATCTGGTTGGAGTATTAACAGTTCAACCAAAAATTTCAAATGATTTAATGGCAAATTAATTATAATAAAATTATTTGTGTTAAACTTTTGCAAAACGATACTTTCAAAATGGTCACAAATTTTTCGAACGACTTTAATTTCATATTTATTTCAATAGAGGCACCAGTTTCCATTTACATTATACAATTTCCTTTAGCGCTTCTTCTAGCAAAGTCACTGCCAAGCATCAAAACATGTTATAAATACCGGAAGTCGTGCGAACACGTTAAAAGAGATGTAAGATCCAAATGTTTCAAATTACCGACACTTCTATTTGAAATCAGAATTTGTTTAAATGCACAAGTTTGCTGATATAATTTTGATGAGAAATATAATGTATGAAATGATAAGATAGTTCGAATCAATTCTTAAAGATATTGCACATTATATTGGCTTACTAAAACGATGCATAAAATTTCGAGACGAATTTTTTATGTCGATGTTTCCACTAATTTCTAATTATAAAATCCTTTTTCAATTTTATCATTCAATTACTACTTCCATATTACGAGGAATCATATCAGTAATAATTCGTAGAAATGTGATCAAAAAAGCACTCAGAAACTATAATTTGCAACATTAATTATCCAAAAATTCTCGTCAATTTAGATAACCCAACTCTTTACAAAATGTTCACAACCAACGTTACTGCCATGACGTCCGAGGGATTTGACGTGACGATCCTCTCACCAACAATAAATGCAATATGTAAAAGGAAATGAAAGCTATACAGAAAGAATAGTAAGCTAAAAAGATTCACGAAATCATTTATTCATATTTTATGTTACAACTACCTTCGTTCACTTTAACCTTCTTTACAAAGAGTCGTAAAAAACTTCCTATTACAATAATTTATTGGAGCAAAACTGATCCGTAAACAGCTGAATCAGTTCTCTCAGGGCGAAATGACTAAATTCATTACTTCCTCATACAATCTTCCTTCAGTGCACACAGACTATACCCGAAAGGAAAAGGAAAGATACATTAGTAAGTGAAATTTGAAAGAATTTTTCATGGTGCGGAAAGTCATGATGCATTCTCTATTTTTGAGGTGCATATGACTCCAATGTGGCCTGAAAGACTAGCAGGTTTCAATAAAGTGTGCCCATGGGTAAAATGGACTCATTTGCTTTAAGGCAACTCATTCCGAGAGAAAAAATGTGACCCGGGCAAATGGAACTCATTAGCCTTGCAAAGTCACAAGTCTACAAGGAAGATACAATAAATAAGCCCACAACATGAGGATTTCGCTGCCACAATTACGCTTGCTAGGCCCGCTAGAGATAAACCACAACTTAGGATGTGGCCAGTTTCGTGTGCGATCGACCCAAAGGATATACTCGGTTTCACAAATTCAGTAGCGACAGGTGGAGGCAAAAGTACGTAAAACTCGCATTGAGAGCTGCGTATAATTATTCTAGGAGATTATTTTTCAAAACTATTTCAATTTTTTGCTTCATCGATCGATTAAAATATGCTACTTTGGAAATACAAGTGGAAATGACATAAATCACTCTCCAATCACAATGAGTTAAGTGAAATTCCGAAATGTTCCGTGTGATCCTTCCAGTAATTCTTAAAAGCTAACCACAGCCCATAATACCTAAGATGGTCCATAAGATGTTTGGGAAATGAAGTAAGTGCAAACCGGCTAGTTCGCAACAGAAATACGGATAGACTAACACCGAATTCAGGAATACTGCCCGTTTTTAACACTGAACCACATTAAGTAGTTCGTTTTCAATTATGCGCTAAATTGCTGTGAGAAGTGCCACACCCCATTACGACGTTAAAATAGTGAGAGAACCACAATGAGTTAAATGAAACTTCGAAATGTGATATGCGATCCTTCCAGTAATTCGTAAAGGGGATATAATGGAAGAGATTAGCAACAGCCCATAATACCTAAGATTAGCTATAAAATGTTCGAGAAATAAAATAGAGAGAAACCAAACCGGCTACTTCGCAACAGAAATTACTGAGAGATTAATACCAAATTTAGAAATGAGTTCACAAAATTTCACCGAAGGAAAAAACTGCTGGATAGAGAAATTGTAACATTATTTATCATAAACAATATTTTAGTAGCACTTACAATTTCAGGTATGCTTAAAAAGAAATGTTTAGATTTACAAAAAAGGGAAACCCATGAAACAAATAAAGGGTAACTACTGATGATTTTGTGCATCCCCTGCATTCGTTGCATCCGCTGCGTTCGTTGCATCCGCTCGTGCTAATCCGTTCGCCTCCGCTTCGCCGTTAAATGCGTACAACTCATGCAGGAATTCTTCAATTTCTTCATCCGAATCACTACCATCCGACTGATTTTGCTGCATCTAAAATTAAGTTTTCGGAATAAATCTCAATTTTCCATGCAAATTCTGATTTCTAGCACTTAAATTTTTTTTTAAAATGACTTACGTTTTCCGGTGTTTCTTGGTTATTCGGTACATCCATTCTGGCGCGTTGCTCAAACTCCGATATCTTTTCTTCAAGCTCTTCGTTTTTCACATCAATTTCAACAATGTGTTGCTGAATAGTTTCAAGCAAGGACGGTATTGAGTTAAAACCGAAGTTTTCGAATGCCATCTTAAACTGAAGAAGCCATCACGTCTTTCTTTCATAATTCTTCCAAATTAATTCCAAGAAGAAATTTGTTACTTTCTTAAGTTACAAATACCACTAATACTTCTTCAGAAAATAAATCAAACAACGATGTTATCCTCTAGAATTGTCCAGCAAAGCAGTTGCTAAGGAATGTGTTGTCAAATTTGATAAGTTCGGAAAAGAATGAGTGGAACTTAGTCTAAGTTGGATTTAGGCGGCGATACATAAAGGACTACTCAATCACATGAAAAGATGAAAATTTGATGTAAAGCGATATAAACCACAGAAAAGCTCTCTTAGACTTCAACCATTTCTACCCAGATCTAATGAACAACCAGATGGCGGGCAAATTTTGAACTCTCTATTCTCAATAAATCCCACTTCATCTCCCCTTTTCACTTCCTCAATAAATACTTTTATTTACACGCAAACCATTTACTTGACAACTCGAAACCCACGTGAGATGAAACAAAAGAAAGACAATTTGAAAAGACACCCACCTCACTCACCGAGAAAATAATGAAGTGAATGACTACTGGAGCTTGTTATATACTATTCTAAGAAGACGGAACATATGCAAATTTTCATTGAGTAATCTGTTTTGTTTCCTAATTTGATTGTTACCCGAATACTTGCCCACCCCCCTTTGTGGCTTTTCCTGCCCAAAAGATTTTCTTGTATTTACCGGGATGAAATGACCTGTCGGAGTGTGTGCACGTATTTTAGCATTAATATTGGCAGAATGATTCGTTTGCTCGCTAATTTCTTCACATGAGTTCTCAAATGAGACTTTTTTAATTGATCATTAATATGAAATTAAATAGATGGCACATATAAAGAAGAAAAGTAATTTGCTGAGGTAAGAAAGAAGTCTTGAAAAAGTCAAAATTTGCATATGTTCCAGAAGTTTCTCCCTGACTATTTCCGCAGCTTCATGGAGTACTGTATAAAAAGGCTCTCACAGTTGTTCTTTTCATCTCAGTTATTTTTGCTGCGCTCGAACTCTCTCTCCAAGGCGCTTTTCGTTTCGTACCGCGTGGTCTCAGGGTGTTTAGGGGTTATAGAGCTTCAAGATGTTACAAGAAATAGTCGGACGCTTATGCTACACACACACACACACATACATTTACCCACGTACATGCCATGCCCAAACTGAACACATGCACACACACATACACTTACCCACGTATATGCCCACACACACACACACATCTCATTCATTTTGAAACTTCTAGACAATATAGAGATAATATTCCATTTGATTCACTTCCTAAGCATTAATTATTGGCGGCATTTGTAACCGGAAAAAGTAGCCAGCTTATGGGATCAAATTGTGAGAGTTATAAGAAGTAATTTAATGATATTTATTTAGAATGGCATCTGAAAACAATACGGGGAGCAATCGCGACGATCAGAATGCTACACAAATTCAACCAATGAAGAAATGGAAATCCGTTTCCGACATTTATGAACCAAGAAGACTCACAGTAACTCTCAGTGAAGGTTAATTTACAATTATGTTTTCTTTACCTTCAACTGAAGTGTGATAACTTTTCTCATTTTACCATAATTGTTCTTAAGTACTGCTTCATTTGCTGAAAAATTTAGGCACACTATCGCTTCCGCATCGCCTTGTTTGCAACGAAACTATCGGAGTTTTGGAGGAGAACGAAAAACTTAAGGCAGAATTATTTAACTTGAAGATACAACTGCTGTTGGTTAGAAAAAAATACCCATTAATGCTGGACGGAAACGGAAAAAATATGACCAAAAAAGTAATTCATACTGATTTGCTACCCATTCCTGATTATTTGCTGTTTTGAAGGAAGAGGAAGACGGAAAAGCAGGCTTATTAAAGTTGTCTTGAAAGCTGTTGATACTACTTTTTTAAAAAAAAACGTTACTTTTTCTCAAGTGCATTTAATATTGAAGCATTTTGTAAAGAAGAAAAAAACCTGTCCATAATTTTCTCTTTGATATTTCAGTATATAGATGCAATGATCGAACTGAACAATGCGAGAAATGAACGAATCAGACTGGAAAAAATGTGTTACGCACATGAGAAAAAGCTCAATGAACAAAGACGGAAAATGCGACGTGAACGAATCATTCACAAAAAGGAACGCAGAAATCTACTTAAGCAAAAGGGAATACTTAAATCGAAACTGAAAAATACCCTCCAGAAGTTGCTTGAATTAGATGACAAATATGATAAGCACATGTCGCCGATACCGAACAAGGACACGTAGGTTCAAAAACTAAAGTAGCCTTATCATTTATTGCTATTTGCTAAGGTCCATTTGAACTTTTTTTCTTACATCAAAAAGCTGTAGTTGGCGTTCACTAATTATTCCAAATATTACAGAAAAACCGAAGAATTGAAATTGCGATTGTCGCTTACTAATCTTATTTTGGAGGAGGGGAATCTAACACCCTGTGAGATAACTGAACAAACTGGGAAAGACGAAGATGAGCAAGAAGAAGGATCATAAAGAATCAGGTTTAATTTCTTTTATCAGTGCGATATCATTGTCCTGAAATGCGCAAAATTTAATTAAATATAAAGTAAATTACAGAAGAGTATTTGAATTGATTTTAAAATGAGCCAAATGCTATCATAAAGATTTTATATACAGAGTAAGATATTGAAATTGTCATTAGACGGGATGTTACAATTTCTCTTACCATAGTACTTTCACAATTTTCCGCATTTAAAGAACAGAGAAGTATTTATGAAATGAACAATGATATTTTCAAATTCATAATGCTGTGTTCTTCCTTGCTTAATAAAATTATATAAATGATATTGTCAAAGTGATGAAGACTGCATCGTTTATTTCTGATCAAATATGTTGCTGTCGTATGATTGCTACTTTTGCTATTGTCACTTCTACCATCGGAAATGATCGAAATTCTGCTTGAAGTATTGCTTCATCACAGCAAATATCACCGCTGACAATGTTTGCGGTATAGGAAACAATGAAGTGAGCGGAATCTTCGTGGATCATCTTCCACAATGTATTCTTCCGGTACGCGGACAACATTCTTCACTATTCTCGGTCGTCCACCGGCACTGAAGCTAATCTGAAAGAGTTTCTCATGCTGCTACAACGCAATCTGGAACGTTATCATTCGAAATGACGCCCCTTCATAATTAATTTGTTTCCAGTACTCTAGAAAAATTAGAGGAAGAATTAGTTGATGCAAATCATTATTTCGAATGATAACTTTCCAGGTTGCGTTAGCAGCATTCATGCAAACCATTATTCATGCAAATGGTTTGCATGAATAAGCTGTCATGTAAAAATTACTTATCATTGAATTTTACCTGTTTATGAATATCATCCCTATTGATTTCGTTCAAATCTTCTAGATGTGAATGAAATTTATCCAGTACAGTCAGTTTTACTTTCAAAAGGTGCTCTGAAATAATCGTTCTTGAAGAATTATTTAATAAAACCTGAAAAAAAAAAAGGTGGATGTGTTATAAAAGAAATGCATAGTTTAAAAAATAACATTTCAAATGATGGAATTTCAAATTAAAACCTTCGTAATGAACTTCCACTTCATTGTTTAATATTTAAAAAAGTTTTTCAAGATTTTTTTTTTTTACACTGACTAAATGGATTCTAATTGTGGAAAGAATAATATGTTATAATAAAGATAAACATTCTGCAAATGGTTTGCATGAATAATTGCACAAAAATCTTGTATCTTTACGCGCATCTAAATAGTCTTACTTGACTTTCAAATTTTTTCCGTCCATAAATAAAGATATTTAACAAGAAAAAAAGGACAATATATAATTGATAAAAATTTTTATGAATGAGAGCATACTATGAAGTGGTATAAGCGTAGTTAGTCGATCTCTTTCTTCTTTTCATTTTTGGTAGGAAAAATATTATGAGAAGACGGAAATTAAATTCTTCCTCAAAACGTGCTATGTGTTCCACTTCAATAATTTTGACTTATGAACTGGAAAAATGACATAAATTTTTTGAAATATTCACCACTTTAGTGAATTAACCATCTAAAGATGAAGTTTAAAAAAAGAAGAGAGGTAAGAGATGAAAGTGGAAGGAGGAAAGAGGGGGGGGGGGGGAGAAAAACAGAAAAAGGAAGAATAAGTATTCCGGAATAGTTTTGAATGTTGCGATTGAAATAATTTTGCGAACATTTTGTGTGATTATTCTCAATCAAATTATTTTTATACTTCATGTGATCATATAAAAATGATGAATGAACTGCATTCAATAATTCATTATTAAACAGTTTGTTGTAAAAAAATTTTTGTCGAAAACTTTGTTATATATTCGATGGAAGTATTAACTTAGTGGAGTATTAAATTGCCAATTAAAGAACAAAATGACATCTGGCAAACTTGCAGTGCCAGAAAGTAACCGAGTATTAGAAAGTTTCTTTTTTTTTTGTTTTAGAAATTCGCAGTATTAGAAAGTATCTTACAGATATTTCAGGTATGTTACAAAGGTTCCAATGTACGAGACGTGAGTTAGCTAAAAGATTAAGTAATAAATGTTTTAGTTTTGACAGACTGAATTTATTTAATTCTCCTAGTGAAAAATGAATATATTAATGATAAGGATATACTCTTACTCTTATTCATAAGTTTGAATTTTAAATTACAGATGAATAATAAAACAGCCAAATTGCTAAATGTTACAAAAGCTAACCAATAAGGTAACCCAAGCTAACATCATCAGGTAATCGGAGAAGTTCACCAAGCTCTTCAAAACCACCGTTACGAACATATGAACTCATTTTTGCAAGTAATGATTTCGAGAGGCAAAAACCGGCACCACCTGTTGCAAACCAAAACGTTGGCTGTAATAATCTATTTTACTTGAATTTCATCAATCATTTCAATTTTTCATAGTTGAAAACTTTCGAAAAACACAAAGATGAGTAGTTAGATAACAAATTTGAAAAAAGGATCAGAAAAGACGAAAAATATAAAAGCCAGAAAAAGAATGTGTCACGGAAAATTAATTTACATATTAAAGTCAGAACTTTGAAATTAGCATTAGCTATTTCGTTTCTCCTATATCTCGCTTAGCAAGAAATTTTTCTTTCAAAATGAACTTTGGATTTCTTGTAAAAACTAGCAGTGCTATTTATGCAGTTAATCTTAAGATAAGATCAAATTACCCAAGGTATGCACGAAAATTTTTAAAACTTTATAAAGAAATAAATAGCAAAAAGAAGAGAGAAACAAATGGCTTATCTTTTGTAGATAGAATTAGTAACTAATCTGTTTTCTAATTATCTTACTGAATATAAAATGAGCATTAGAGAAAATAATGGTAATAATAAATTTGAAAAAAAAAAAAAAAAAAAAAAAACAACTAAAATTGTGTAATTGATTGAATTAAAAAAAAAAAAAAATGCATACTTTTTCAGGAATGGAATCGATACCAACTGGTCCTACTGTTGATGGCCTTCCCAGATACCAATCCCGTTTTGGATCAAGTTTCTTCAAAACGCGTACTAATTCCGCAATATTTACGTAATTGTCATCGTCAAAATGACAAGCCCATCTGAAAATAATCACATTACAATATGAGGATGATTAGAAATAATTGAGTGAAATTAAAAAGAAAAAAGAGTCAAAATTTCCAAAATTTCTAGAAAAAAGAAGCGAGAAATTAAAGACAGTGACAATTTGATAATTTCAACGATTTTCAAAAGAATTTTTAGTGATATAAAAAACTGATATTTACTTAGCTAATATTTATATGCTTTATTATTATTATTACTTTGCCATTTGCACTATCTGAAGGTAAAAATCTAAAACATTATGCATATGATAAAATGAAATAAGCCTTTCAAAAATGTCAAAAAAATTCAATGATTCCTAAATGGGAAAGAATTGATGAAGTGATGATGAATAGTAAAGATCTGTTCATAAAATTCATCCTGTGATAGCATTTTATCTTTGTTGTTTTATGTGCAGATAAAGGCAATCGTAAAATCGGCATAATTATTGGAACAGTAGCAGTAGTATAACGATAATTGCAGAAGGTTAAAGGTTACAATTTATGATATTTTTTACAATGATGATCACGGGGTGCGCAATCCTACACCTTTTTGTCTTCATCCAATTGTGATAAACAACTTTTCCACCAACCATTGATGCAAAGTAATAATTTTGATTGTAGAGTAAATAATATGGATTCCAGATATTTGTCGTTGAAAATTGCATCATAAACCTCGAAAAGTGATAAACCAAAAGGATATTTACTATTTTCATAATTCTTTCCTTCTATCATTCGCATTTCGTTTATTTTTATTGTTTCTTCCTTTTATTCATTTGTTAATTTAACTAATCAATGATTGCATGTATCAGCTAGCTAAGATCAGATAAGTACATCACAGTGATAACTTTATGAAATTTTCAAAAAAAAAAAAAAAAAATTTCACTCGAAAGAAAAAAAGAATTTCTTTTTTTTTTTTTCTTTTATAATTGAAATAAAAATATCTAAAAGGAATTTCCTACTTTTTTTTCCTTTATTTAAACTAATAGAATCATTCTTTTTTTCTTCCTGATTATATGTTATCGCATCAGTAATCTCTCTATTTTGCCTTAGTCTAACTGTTATCTCCTATCATTCCAAAAATTTTTTCTCGCAAAACAAAAGGAAAGAAAATATGTGTGAAAGAAATTTAAGACAGGAAAAATGCGGTAGGTCGTATTTGGCAGAGGTTGAAGAAGTGCGGCATTAGTTTGAACATCAAAAAAGAGAAAGGGACCTGAAAGGTTGAGAGAAAGGATAAAAGAAGGGAAAATGAAGGATGTGAGAAAAAAGGGTAAGTCTGAGGTAAAAGAAAAGGAATCACATGGAAATAAATTACTATCACTGCATCGATCACACGGACAGCTAGGAGGGCCAAATAGGTAGTTATCGCTAGAAAGAATACTAATTATCATCCTATAATTACAGATGACTTCGTCATCACGAAACGTTTTTTCTTGACAAGATTCTCCATTTTGAATTTAATTCTTTTTTTTTTCTAATATCAATTAAATTGGATATTGGAAGTATTTCCTCAATTCTGTAGATTTTAATATAGCATTTGAAACTTTAACTCAATTCATGAATCTCATACGATCTGTTAAGGACGATTTGTAACTTGTGAGATTCGCCGGATTTATCAGACTGATCAGGATTGCATATGTTATTCGGTATATCAGGATTCGGTAAATTAAGGTGATAATTTACGAAGGCTATATAGATGTAGAGCATTTTCAGTGTTTGAAAACCTCCCTTGGATACCATCCAAGGGAGTAAAGAGATTTGAGGTACATATAGGTTGCAGACCATTTGCATTATGTTATTGGCATGTGTCGCTACGGGATGTGACAGGTCATCATCGCTAATATATAATGTAAGCCGCTTCTTACATAACTGGAGCAAAAATTACCTCTGTACCATTAACCTTTGACCCTTCTGCAAATAAAAAAAAACGAAGAAAAAAAAGTTGCAATAAAGGAAGGTAAAACTAAAAAACCTCTTGCTATAATTGTAAACATAAAACATATTGATGATATTTTTGAATTGAGAACTTTCAATTTAATAAATAATCAACCCAAATGATTGTTGTGAATTGTCTTCTCTCTCTCTTCTCTTCTTTTTTTGTTTAATTTCATTTATTTTTAATTATTAGTCATGTATACATATGCTAATTATTTTTGAATCATATTATTTTACACATATCTGTAAATTAATAGATCAAAATCAATCATAATTTAAAATACATAACCAAATTTAATTCTTATTTTGCTATATTAAATTTTGTTTTTTTATATAGTCTAGTGTGAATGGAACTCCAGCAAAACTTATCCAATTTAAGTTATTTAAATAAGGCACATATATGCTACTAAGATTTATTTCACTTTTTCATGCGTGTATAATGCGTTCCTGAATAACGGAAACGTCTTTTTTTTTTCCTGATCATACACTAGAAAATGATAAAAGACATATTACTTAATGAAAGGTTGTGAAACACATAAGAACAATTAAGTGGGAAGTTAATAATTAAATACATTAACCATTTAATCTTCGAAATTTCAATTTGAACGAATTTAGTCTATCTAGCAGCTGAATCTGTTAAAATTTTTAGAAATTTAAGAAAAATGCAACAAATTTTTGCTAATAATACTATAAATTACTAATATTTTTGGAAAGAAATGTTAAAAATATTATCTAATTTCTAATGAAAAACAATGTTATTTGATGGATAAAAAGAGAAACAATTAAAAATATGTAAAGAAAGAAGAAAGTAAAGAGAGGAAAAGAAAGAAAAAGGAGTGCTAAAAAGAAAAAAAGTAGATAATATGACCTTGAATAAATCATTTTGAAAAAAATAAATTGATAGAGGAAACGGTGATTAGAAAAGGTAGGAAAAGATATTGAATGATTAGCACATCAAAATGCATCATAAACACAATATTTTTTTTTAAAAAAAAAAAAAAAAAAAAAGAAAAAAAAAAAAGATGAAGACCTTGTTTTCTGCGTCAGGAATAGCTCCAATTCGGCATTCATTTTGCAACAAAGACCTTCCCTAAATAACAAATTAATTTCTTTTTTCTTTTTTTGATATCAATTAATTCGTAGTTTTTTCTTTTTTTTTATTAAATCATTTTCTTTTTCCTTTCCTTCTTACTATTTTCTCTTTTTTATTTTCCACTTTTTGTAAAAAAAAAAGGAAATGTAAAGCGATAACCATATGGTTATGGATATATTAAAGTGGTACATATTTCAATTTATAATTTCCATTATTAAAGCTAATATGTTATAATTTGATAACCATCCAAAACACATGTTTTCTTTTTTTTTTGAAACAGAAAGGAAGAAAAGGAAAACAAGTCTCTACTAATTTAAAATTTCCAAAAAAAAAAAAAAAAAAAAGAAATTAAACCGCAATTTAAACTGTATTAAGCAATTGCGTATAATCGAAGAAAAAAAAAAAAGGAATCGCAGAAATTTTATAATACATAGAAGACAAAAGTTAATTAATTTTAAATTGCTTTATCAAAAATAAGTGCAAACTGATAAATGATAACACAGTTCATCAATGTTATTTTTGAAGTGAAAAAATTAGTCCAAAATTGATTATGTAAATACTAATCTACAAATTTAAAAAATATTTACCTAAACTAACAACGATAAAAATGAATAACAATACCTGGTATGCCCGTTGCTACAATCACTAACAATTAATTTTCCACCAGTTATCTCGTTTAATTTTGCATCTGGTGTATCAGTTACGAAATATATCTGAAATTCACCATATTAATCAGTAATTTGTAAAGTTTTTTTTTTTTTAGAAAGTTTAAAAGCTATTTAAAATTATGTGAAATACTTGGATAATTACTAGTTCTAACAATTATTACAAACTAACAATATCAGAATTTAGCAGTCTCCTCGATGACATGATGAAATTTCACGGAGTCAATTAAAAAGTTCACGATTTATATATCTATTTTATCTAATTTACTTATCGTTTTGAACTGATCATTGTTTCGTATCATACGGATTAAAAAATTCATCAATTACCACTAAAATGATTAATCAGAGATAAGTGTTGAATAAATTAAGTATATAACTTGTTAACCAGATCTAAGTTGTATCGATATCTTTTTATGCTATTTTATTTCATCTTATGATACGGAACGGTGATCAGTTAAAATAGACATAAATCCGGGGTTCATCAATAAACCGTCTTTTTTTCCTTTTTTTTTTTCGTGTGACACTCAGTCGAGTCATCGAGGGAAAATGCAGAATGATTTGGGAATTTATTGCTAAATTCTGATATTACCAGTTCTAGTGGTAAAGTTAAAGTCGATGATAATAATTACTGAAACTAGCAATAATTTAAATATTTTATGCTGAAATTGGCAATGAGAGATGCTAAATTTTACTTTTATATTTTAATATACTAATGGAAAAAAAGCTAAAAATTTTTTCCATTATAATTATCGTTATTATAATTTTAACGATGAATACTTTGTGAACTCAGAATTACGATTAGAAAGAATAGCATTTTCAATAATTTTATTACAGTTTCTTTTAGTATAAAAATCCTTGAAAATTCTCGAGTTCAGTTTAAAACCGTACTCACAAGAAAATGAAATTAAGCCAAAATATTGAAATTTCAAAATGGAAAGTAGTGGCAAAAAAATAATGCAATAAACTTTTGTTACAATTTTGAGGACTTTGCAAATTTAAGAATGATAAATGGTGCATTGTGTACAGGATAAGCTAAGACAAGAAGTAAACAGTCAAGATTTGAATAATGATCTCTGACAGTTATTGACAATTCTGATTCATTCTATAAATCTTTTGTTTCCTATGACTTTTGACATCTTCCACTTTTTTTTTTTTGGATTATTTTTAGCTTTTCACTTTTCTTTTTTGGCTTTACCATTTAAAAAATGAACATATTTTTGGTTTTTTTCGGAAAGACTGAAAGTATATATATATATATGATATCACAAACGGTAATTCTATCTTGAAAAAATTGCAGTTAAAAGATGCATATATATAAACGACTCACCAATTATCTCAAAAGAAATAAATAATTGCAAATTATTAATTCAAAAAAAAAAAAAAATCCATAATTAAGAAGAAATTTTCTCTAATAATGAAAGAATAAACTTATTTATAATTTTGTTTAATTTCAAAATTTTGCCGGTTTTTACTCCCAAGCTTTTTTTATATTAAAGTAGAAAAATATGAAGGTTAACCTAAGTACTCACTTGCATCATTCATACAAATTTTTAAATTTGACTAAATTATAAAAAATTTGATAAAAAAAAGCAAGGAACTGACCTGTTAATATTATTCATTCCTATTTACCTATGAAAGATTAAATTTGTAAATGGAATATTTGAGAAAGAAATTGACTGTCAATAATTAAATTATTACCTATCTATTGTATGTTTAACTAAAGTATTTTATTTTGAGTGTTAGGATTATTACTTCTTTGCTGATAAATGTTCCACTAATATTCCATAATGATTTGCATCATAATATAATGAAATTTAAAGTGAGATTTAAAAAAAAAAAAAACTCATTGCTCGGATGATAAATTCATAAACAACTTATAATATCAATAATAATTAATTGAATCACATTTAATTTAATTGTAAATAAAAAAAGAAAAAAACGAGCATTGTTAGGTGCTAATTGAAACCATGTATCAATTATGTCACGTATGCGACTCTCATGAAATTTTAATGTTGTTTTTACAGCAATCACTAAACCATCCAAATCACTGGTTGTTGGCACATACTCTATTTGGCTACCGTGATGGCCAAATCCCTAAAAATCCATGAAATAAAATATTAAATCAAATAATTATAAGAATAAAAAAACTTAAAATATTAAACATTTTAAAAGTTTTCATCGCCTATTATTATTAATCAATAAAATTTAAAAAGAAAAAAATACTTAAGGAAACTATTAAAATTTTTCAAACTACCAATACACAGCAAATAATGCAAACGTTATATTGCTAAAAAAAAAAAAAAAAAAAACAAATTTCTCATCCACTCAAATTATTTTAACAATTCAATCTCTTACCTTATCAACTAATAAATATACCAATATGATAGCTAACAATGCCATAATAAGATAAATTGTGTGTTTAGTTATCCGCATGCATCAAACATTTGGATTAGCTAAATGAAAATAATTATAAATGAAAGCAAAAAAAAAAAGCGAATGCTTGATGACACACATATCACAGCAACAGTACCGGTACTAAGCTTTCTTCAAGTCTTTCCTCTATCCATCCGTACTGCTTATTTATGTCTAATGTCTGTTGATGATGATGATGGCTGAAAGGGTGTCGAAAAATGATGATACGATGATCGTTCCGTCTTTCCGATCGCTATAAAAGTAGACCACGCCTTTTGGCAGAATGAACAATTTCTTCTCATTGATGAGAAAAGCAGTAGCACCGATATGGCATCGATGAAAGTTTTTTGGATTGTCGCGATTTGTTGCTGGATAAAGAGTCAATTTTACGTCAATTGTCAGATTATGAGATTAGCATAAGTCGTTAATGATAAGCAATTATAATGAATGCAAATGATAGTATCAGCGAATTTGATTACTGATAATGACAAAAAGGAATATTATTGATGAGTACAAATGATGACAATTAATGCAATAATTTCCTCCAACTGTGGTATTACAGTGTTATTGTTAACTAGTAAAACTGTTGATAGTGATAACAACAATAATTAACATTTTAGAGAAGTAATGATAAAAGCAGTACTGCTTTGCTATTAGTCAATTCTATGATAAGAATGATAACTTATTAATAAATTATGTCTAATATTGTTGTTTTTGTTGTTACTATCCGCTATGATCAAAATGTTTGCTTAAATATTTCTCGCAGCCATTTAATATTAACAGAAAAAGTATAGCTTTTTAAAGTTTCGAAATAAGAAAATTACGTTATGAAAATTATTTTACAAATTGTTACATTTACAATTGGATCAGAAACAGTAATCTCCAAATCTCTGATAAATTAAATTGGCATTTCTGGTGGTTTATGGCTGCTCATAATTTCTATCGAACTAATAATTATCAGTAAAATGATAAAATATCTTTCTTCGTTTGATCCTTTAATTTAGCTTTTTCAAAGAAATACATAAGTTGCAAGTGATAACATTTTTTTATTGTAATAGCTCAAACAATGTTAAATTATATTAATTTGTGTAAGTACTGACAATAAACTAACTTTTATGATATAAAGAAAAGGATGATAATAATGACAATGATAGTATTGATGAGCAAAAGTAAAATAAAATGACAATAATGTAAAAAGAGTAATGATAATAGCGATACGGTAATAATAATAATAATAATGGTGATAAAGTTATTGAAAGTTATTGATAAAATTTTACACAAACTTATGAAAACAAAGCATTTTTTTTTAATCAATAATGCATTATTTTTACACAATTCGAATAAAAAAAAAAAAAAAATGTTTTTTCTTTTCCAGCGTTAGTTGGAAAATATATGAATACAACGTGTAAAAGTTTCACAAACGATGTCTATGATTAACGATGATTTAAAGAAGTTTTATAATTTGATCTATGAATTTAACTGAATTTAAGATTTGTCCAATCCAAATATTATAAAAATTCCCCTTGATATAATAAACAACAATATTCCAATTTTATTTTCCACATTTTTTCGTTATTAATTCAATTAACAATGAAATTTACTAAGTATTTAAATAAAATCTATTAAAAAAAAGATTCAAACTTATCTTTCAAGTTTCAAATCTTAAATATTGTATTTAATTTTTCATTACATTAATAAATTTCGTGATCAATCGATAAATTGTAAACTGATCTAAAATTTGTAAAATATTTGACCTACTGCAAATGTTAGAAACTATAAAACAATACTGTAATTAGTTCTAAAAACGAAATGTCAATTAATTGATTAATTAAATTTTAAGTTATAAACAGTAAATTGTGAAGTTTCTCTCTCTCTCTCTCTTTTTTTTTTCTTCTCTTCATCTTTTATTGTTTGATCAAATCAATACCTTTTTAAGCATTTTCCTATTCCGGCAATAACAAATGACCAAATAAGTAAGTCCATTAACAACTATGTCAACACTCAGAAAAAATAGAAAATAAAGTCGTTTGCTGCATGGTGGGAAAAATATTGCACCAATTCATCATTCACTATGAAACGATACTAATTGAATGAATCCATGGGAAAAATGAAGTTGTCAAAAAAAAAAGTAAAAAATAAAAAAAAAAAAAAAAGGGAGAAGAGAAGAAAGGAAGAGGATATCCTGGGAAATGACATAAGTTAATGTGAAAAGAAAGGAAAAAAAAAAAAGGACAGAAAGAAATGATTGAAACATTTTTATTCTCTAACTGTTTTTTTTTTTTTTTTTTCCATATATTTCATAATTTCTCATCAGTGATTATACTGTTAATTTATCTATTTTCGGAGAGAAAAAAAGATTACAATATTATCAATTTAATTGAGTATTTTATAAAATTTGATTTGATCACATTGTATAAATGATAATGATTAGGTGATATCAGATAATGGAATTATATAACATATAGCATATTCCAAAGATTTTGAATGATCTAAATCAGTTGAAAATTCTTTAGCATCAAATTAAAGTATTAACAAAGTTAGTGGATTAATTAGCAAAATTAATAAGTAAGTATTTTAGGAATTATCATTGTAAAAGTTAGTGCAAGAAATTGATTCCACTATATCGGCAATGCATAAAAAGATTTGATCATTCCAAAATAAAATATTGTAATAACTTAATAATTTATATAGCGAGCAAAGGATGAAAATTATTTACGTAAGTTTAAAATGCAATAAATTTCATTTATATCATTAGTGCAATCCAACTTTTATCACTTATCATCTCTTCGAAGGAGCGTATTTTGTCTGACAAAAGCTCAGTCGTTTCCTTTCAACTTTTTTCATCTTCTTTCAATCTTCATATCTTTTATTCAAATTATCACAAAAATTTTAAAGCTTATTTGCTGAAATGTAATTAAATAGGTAGCAAACTATTAAATTTTATAGCGGTAAAACAAAAAAGAAAGAAAGAAAGAAAACCAAGTTTTATTCACAGTTATCAGAAAGATTCTGTTTTTTTTTTTTTTATTAAACAATCAACAAATAGAATTATGAATAAATTTCGACCCGATTATCAATTCGTCATGTCAGGTAAATTTCTGCTTCGTCGAATATCTTGCACGCTTAATAATGTTTCTAAAAACTTCAAAAATGGATTTTCGCCATCATCAAGCGCAGAACACGTATCTCCCGATCGGAACAGACCAACACAACAACCCTTAAAGTGTTTTTTTTTTTGTTTATCACTTACGATTCATTTCCTTTGTTTTGTGTACGGTAACATATTAATAAATTTCTACGCATTTAATATTTTGGAATTGACAAATTGTTAATATCCATAATACTGCTCAAATTTTCCATTTGTACATTTACAGTATGTTTATACACTGTTTCAAATTTCATTTCATTACTTAACAAAGAAGTAAAAGATTTTACATTTATCAAAAAGATCAGATAAATGAATTTTTTTTCTTTTTTTTTTTTTGCTGCAATGATCAATACCATATCTATTTAAGTCATAATTTACCTTCCAAAGTATATGAAATTCTCCATTATTAATAAGGAAATTAGTTCCATATGGACAAACGTTAAAAGCGCATGCGCGTTTTTCTTCCGTTCTGCATTCTACGTCTGACGAACATTGACGTGTTCGAAGACGTTTTCCACAACCGCCACATTCTTGAGTGCATGGTCCACTCCATTCTGACCATTCACCACATTCGCATACTGCAAACAATTTAGAATGATTTCAAAACAGAAAAAAAAAATTTTTTTTCTAAATATTAAAAAAAAAGTATGATCACAAGACATTTTACCGTAAGTAATTTTTGAGAAATTTAAATGAAATAAAATGATGGGCAAATTATTAGAAATTGATAAAGTCGAAATTTGAAATTATCTCGAATTAAAACTTTTTCATCTATTTTATCATAATCTGATTGGTACATCTATCTAGTGAGCAATTTCTTTTTCTGATTATTAATTTTTAATAAATTAATTCTAATGAATGAAAACAATATCCGGATCATTTCGCTTTTTACATGATTCTCTCATACAATATTTAAAATTATTTCCCGATGGATAGCTAGACTTTTATTTGATTACAAAAATTGCTAAACAAAATCGAAAACCATATTGGATATTTATTTATCTCATATTCAAACGATAAAAATTTCATCATCAAAATGAATGAAAACAATATTCGGATCATATAAATTGTAATGTAAATTTATTGCTCTTGCATTTACGAATGTTCTTGATTTTTTTTCAAAATTTAGGTGATGCATTTGACGGCCATTGTTTTTCACATTTATTAGAGTAATTTCACGATTCGACATACTAAATCGTATGATAATTTGGACATTTGCGCTTATACGTCTATTTTGCCATGCTGAATGAGAATATCGGGCGTTTGCCAAAATCGTTGTAAATGTCTTATGACACAGTGCATTTATTTGTACTTCAAAAGGAAAAAACTGAGTGTAGAATTTTTTTCATTTGCTTTTCCAGAATTTCAATCGGATGGTGAATAGCAATCTCACGGAATATTCCTGCTTTCCTCCATTGATTACTTTTGGATATAAATAACTTTGCAAACGGCTTTCTCTTCTCCCTTTTGACGTGAAAACACACTGATCATTCTCTTCAATTCAAACTTGTCAGTCATCCTCTATCTCGATGATTTTTTTTTTCATCTTTTATCAATGACTTTTGCATTTGCTGTCCTGTTTGTGAACACTCATAACATTCATAATAAGTCTGATCTATAAAAGAAATTCAAATTACCAAGCATAAACGATAAATAACTTACGATGTTGATTTCCGTTCTTGTCAGTTACTATAGGCATAGTAGTGATAGTTGAGGGAATTGATACCGTACCGGCAATAGTAGTAGTAATAATATTAGCCGGAATACTAGTGATAGCAATGCTCGTGATCCGTAATTTTCTTGCATATGTGGAAGTAGTAGTGGCAGTTGTTGTTGTTGTTATTGTTGTTGCTATCGCAATTGTTGTAGTTACAACTGTTGGAATTGTTAATTTCAATAGTTCTTCCGGAATTTCAGATATTTTATTTGATACAGTTTTATTCTAAAAAAAATTTCTCTGAACATTAATAAATTAATATGTTGAATTTTAAATGAAATAAATGAAACTTTTATCTTACAACTATTTGATAGTCTACATTCGACCAAACTTTAGCTCTAAAGCCATTTCCAGCATCACCAAAACCACGAAATATAACTATCATTTCGTTTGTGATAGATTGAAAGACATGATGTGGCGCTTTCGTACAACAAAATCTGAAAAAATAGTATAAACTATAACATTTATTTCCTTTTTTGTAGGTAGTAAAAATGATTATAATTCATTGCATGCTCAAATAATGATAAAATGGAAAATTCTTGCATTCAGAAGAAAATCTTTTATACAAAATTTAAAATCTATGGTTCAGAAAATATTAAAGGAGGGATTACATATTTTCTCACAATGAAAAAGCAATTTGAAGTGCAACAATTTAAACTCATGAATGCAACAAAACAAAATTTGAAACAATTTTTTTTTTTAATTTCAAATTTGTGTGCTTGAAAAATTAATAATTAATTGAAATAATGCATGATTGGTTATTTTTTGCTACTAACCGATATCCAGTAAGTCGAAAATCAGCGCCAATTTTAATTTCTACATAAGACTTATCACACGTATCTTCACATTGTAATTGAAATTGTTCAATAAATTGAAAATTTACTATTCCACCAGGTGGTGCTATAATTAGCCAAATGCAATGGTCACCAACATTGAATGAATTTGGATAATTTGGACTCGAAATTGTAACAGGCATTTTGCTTGCCTAAAAATAACCACAAATCTTAGAGATAGAAATAATCTGATATTATTAAACTAGAAAAAGCTAAATTTGCATAGTTTTCTTTGATAGATGAAAAAGCGATGATCTGCAAAAAATTTATGACAGCGAACACTTATTTTCCAATGAAATTTTACATTTAAATTGTACAAATTTATGGTAACTTAAAAAAAAAAAAAAAGATGATTTCATAAAGATTAGATGAGATAAGTAAGCCGTCGTTAGCAAAATTTTATTGTAGAAATGGAAAATACTGAATTAGCTTAATACAATTTAGATAGACCGTTGTGATAAACATTTAGTTACTTTTAAGGATGAAATAAATTAACTTCTTTTACTATAACAAACAAATTATCAGTACGTTATGCTCAACTAAGACTTTATAAGAAACAAAATTAAGATTAAAAGGAAGCACTAATTTCTGCAATAATTTCTAGAAAGCAAGAAATTGAAAAGTTTTAGGTTGGAAATGTTCTTTTTTACCTTTCACTAACAAGCTAATTAGCTAACTAATAAGTTAATCTTGCTAAGAAAAATTCCACAAATCGACAAAAATATATTAACAATTTAACTTACTAACAAATACATTAAGTGGAGTTGAATTATTAGCTCAATAAAAATATTAAAATTCAGAAAAAATCAAAAATAAGTTAAAACAATGAATAGTAATGTATTTAATGATACTGTTATCATCTAACATATTTATATTCAAATTTAAATTTAATTTATGATAATATATAATGCTTATGCAAACAAAAATCACATACTGAATGCAAAAACTATAAAAAGCCGAAGAAACAGATAATTTCAACATTGTCACATTGAAATACTTTTATCGAGTGCTGCACTCTCTAACAGGACTCGGGAATGAAAGGTACTAAGGAAAGTGGTGATGCGGGTCAATGTGGAAGATGGGATGTACCGGATGGTATCCCTCTTCCACCTTCTCCGATCTCTAATATGCGCCTAGATAATATTATGCATAACACTTACTTCGGTAGCATAAGGTATCAAGAAATTTTCCCATTCTTATCATTCAGTATCTTATTTTAACTTTTCTCGCTATCACCTTAACTCCATTTTCAAATTTGTAATAATGATTTTTGAAAATTTCTAGATATTTTAACGAATTGGTGCAAGAAATGTATAAATTGGATGTTCTTCAGTCAAATCATCCCGACAAGCTTCAAAATGCCTACTCGTTGCTTATCAATGAAATTGATCGCGTCTGGACCGCTATCTATATGCATGCAATGCGTAACGATCATATGCATCATCTTCACGATGTAAATAGCCAATGATATAGTAATTCAATATGACGACGCATATAAACAATTAAATTTTAAAATTAGAATTAATAGCATCTTTTTGTGTAAAAATAATCGAAATTCACTATTGTCATATATGTGTGTCACTATTTATATAACTCTTAAACGCGTATCAGTCATACAGTTTTAGTAATTATCATGTTATCTTAATGCTTTTAGTTTTTTTTTTTCCTTAGTAGTTTCAAGCGTTTCGGCTAGAATATATTTTAGATAGAAGGATCTCTTGTTACGATCCAGGAGAAGGTTATTATTCCACAACGTCCAAATTGCAAATTGATCGGACGCATTCTTGGACCACGAGGAATTTCGGTGAAACAACTTGAGGCCCAGACCGATTGTCGCATCCTTATCCGTGGAAGGGGTTCCGTTAAAGTAAAAACTTCCTGACCTTACTCCCTTCTTACTGTCTCTCGTCTCTTCTGTTCCATCAGGTTATAACATTACAACAGTAAACAGATCAATAAATGATGCAGTCTATCCATCCTATAATATTTACTAGATAGTATCAATAGCACATAACACCGGAAAGTTGCACTGAATTTCTCAGGATGTTGTGAAGCCTGTCATGTGAATCTTTCAGGATGACCATCAGGGAACTTGCACTTAACTTTTCAGGATACCCGTAGTGAAGCCCGTCTTGTGAATTTTTCAAGATGTCTGTCGTGAAGACCGTTTTCTGAATTATTCAGGATGCCTGTCGTGAAGCCCGTCTTGTGAATTTTTCAGGATGCCCGTCGTGAAGCCCGTCTTCGTAATCGTATTGGTTGGGAGCATCTCTCGGAACCCTTGCATGTGCTCATCATCGCTACTGATGTGTCGCATGGTCGCTGTGTTCAAAAATTATCATTCGGTATACACAGTGTCAAAGCGCTGCTCAGTAGCAACGATGACGAGCACAAGCGTCGCCAACTTGTCCAACTTGCGATCATTAATGGCACATATCGTCCGACGATTTCGTAGCAACAAAAAAGGGATGATTGTATCGAAGAAGCATACACAACAAATAAAACACACCACAATTGCATTAATTATTATTAAATTTGTATTGGAAAATAAAAATTACTAAAATATGCATCGTTTTGCTTTTCCTTTCCTCTCTCTCTCTCTCTCTCTCTCCCCCTGTCTACCTTTCTTTTTCCTTCCACTTCTTATCATAATACATACAATTATTTTTTTCCTGATATTCACTATATGAAAATAAAATTTCATCAATTTCTACCATTTAATAAATTAATGAAAAAAAAAAGAGAAAAAACTTCGTAGTTCTGATATCGATCAATATTAAATTAGAAAAGTTGAAAATTTCTTTAAGAAAATTTGTAAAAGTGTTACAAGAATCAAGTGATCTTTTTTTGTAAAGATCAGTAGATCAGTATTCAATGCTATTAAGAGTTCACCATAATGCTGCTTAAATTTCAGGTATCTGTTCAAGAAATGCATTTAGTTTAGTCTTTCAAAAATATTGCATTAACTAAGAGTGAATTGAAATGGTGGAATAAGTTGGAAAATTATGATGACCTGAGTATATACAGCAAAAAGTATATTATCGGAAGGATCAAACAGGTAGGAAGATAGTAATCTTTTAGGTTGTTTCTTCTATTAATCTAAATCATGCATATAAATTGATCATAAGGTGTATTAATTGCATCAGTTCTCTTTTTTTTTTTTTTTTTTTTCTTTTTACCTAGAGTATTTTCCGTGAAGTAGTTACGTAGGGGAAGCGTTAGAACAAAAGATCAAAATTTCAAAGCAATAATATTTACAGTGACAGTAAACAGGATGAATTATGCATTTGCATAAAAAGCAAAAAATTGATGTAAATTTTGAAATCATTTTTGCATGATGCATAAAAAAAAAAAAAAAAAAAAAAAAAAGGTGTTGTACGAAGAAGTATATCTTTAACCTATAGTATAATAATATTGTTGATCAAAAAAGAGGCCAAAAAATAAATAAATAATGTTTACCTTAATGAGAGCTCCACAAGATGTATATTGAACAAATTGACAGGTACTACCAGCAAAACCATCTGGACATAGGCATTTTGCACAATTATTAGGATTCGGATAACCATTATGATCGCATTGTATATTAGCACAATGTTCCGTACAACGATAAGCAATGTTAATCTAAAAAATAAAATAAATAAATAAAATAAAAAAAATTCTAGAATGTCATCTTGATAAACAAAGAAAATAATGTTATTTTTAAAAATAAGCTTTATGAAAGAAGTTAATCATTATTATATCTTATAACACTATCCTAATAGATAACAAAAGAAAATTTAATTTGATAATCTCAAATTTGAAATTTGATAATGCCAAATATTTGCAATCAGTGTTCACTCTTGCAATTTAAATTATTGTACATATGCTTACTATTCAAAGACTAATAAAAAAATTTTTAGCACTAATAAATCTTATCCGTGAAAAATTTTTTGATCAATTTTGAAGTATTACCAATTATATTTATATGCTTGAGAAAAAATTTTAATAAATGTTAATGATTTAGATTTGAGATCTCAAATTTACAGTTCTTGAAATTATCAGCCATTTGATGACAATATCATTAATGCGGTTGTTATATAAAGCTTAACAGCTGCATAATCCAGAAACGATGGCCCTTCACGTTGCCCAATTGTGTACTGATGAAATTTATTACGTGTTGTAATAGTTGGTACGTACGGATCTGTTGCAAATCCATATGGTCCATAATGCATTACTGATCCTATAAATATTATTAATTTCTTAAAAATAATTTAAAAAAAAAAAAAAAAAAAAAAACTTCTTGAGTTAAAATTTTAATTAAATTATCGTATTTTTGAAAAAAGAAAAAGAAAAAATTAAAACATAATTGATATATATGTATATATCATTTTTAAATTATTATTATCATTACTATGAGATGAAAAAAATTACCCGTATCATAGGGTAAATTAAACATATCAGCTTCATGTTGTGATATTGGAAAAAAGTTATTCCAACGGCTCAGTGGAATATTATTGTAATTAATAAAAATATGATTTTTCTGATCAAGACGTGCTTGTTCATGAAATATTCCCAATGTATGACCAATTTCATGTGATATAATACCAATTATATCACATCCTGGAGTTGAAATTGAAATTCCCTGAAATTTTTATTGAAAAATTAATTTCATTTTCAAGAATTGTAAAAATTTTCGTTCTTCCTTCTCTTCCTTTTTTTTTTTTTTTTTAAGTCAAAGTATGAGTATTTGCAAAAGATTAAAAATTTATTCGACAATAAATTTTGCTTCCAAAATTACTTGCGTGCCTCCTGTTCGGCCGACAAAACTTGAACATCCGCCACCATCAAAAAATTCAATTCGATCTATATTTGGGCCATTTTCTTGGAATCTTATGCAGGTGCGCTCTTCCCACATTGCTATTGCTGCGCGGATTTTTGCCCGTGTTTCCAGTGGAATAGTTTCGGCAAAATCATAGCTGATAGGACGTCTATGATCCCAACGTACGTAAAACGGTTCAAGGCCAACGCTTCTAAGAAAAAAAAAAAGTTAAAGTTTAATTATTCAAGGCTTGAATCTATTGTATAGCAATTTTGCTAAATCTATTTTTTCAATTACTTTTTTTTGTACGTTACAATTTTAATCTAATTATTTGTGAAATTTTTTTTTAAAGAATTTTATTTTATATTTAAGCCAAGCGAAAAAAAAAAAAAAAAAACGTAATTCTGAACGAAATTTTTTGATCGTATTTAAGTTTAATTTAAACTAAAGTAGAATTTAATCAATTTCATTTATGTTAAAATAAATTTAAATAAAATTAGCTTAAATAAAAGTAAACTTAGCCAGTTCATACGTTTGCATGATGTTATATTTATGTGTAGGAAAGGATAAAAATCCGGTTTTCGGCAAATGAAAAAAAAAAAAAACTATCTTTGATATTGTGATGACGTAACGTATAGTTTGCGTAATTAACTAAGCTTTGCGCAAAAACACTGATTAGTCATAGCAATATAAAGAAAAAATTGGTGGAATTTGAATTAAATTTGTTGTGTAAGTGTGTGTGTGTTTAAAGAGAAATAAAATTGGGATAAAAGTCAGAATTTTTTTTTCTTTTGTTTTAATTCCTATTAAAATATAAATTTGAAAAAAAAAAAAACTGATGAAATTTACTAACAATACCGTTTTTGACGTATAATTTCATCTTCTTTTTCCTTCAAAACAATTTCACTTTTCAAATGTTTGCTTAGCATTTCGGCTTGCTTTTCCGACAAATCGATATCACCCTGAAAAGAAAAAAAAAAAAAAAAACGAGCCTTTCTTTTGAAATTTCAATATTTTGATTTTTTTCAAAATCTCGAAAACCTTTCAAAGTTTATGTAAAAGAATCTAAATATCAATACCGGAAATATCAATCCTCGTTAGAGTGCAATTATAAATTATTTCATAGCACGTAAAACGGAAAAATTATTTTTTCGTACTTTTTTTTTTTCCAAATAATTTCTAAATGAAAAAAAAAAAAATAATAAAGTTGTCATTTTCAAAAAAAAAAAAAATGAAACTAAGAGGTAAAAAACTTGATAGTATGCATCCGGATTATTAATCGATAGTTCATTATGATGCCGTTTTGCTTCAGGATTTCTTCGTTGTAATATTATTTGATCGGCTAATAATGCATTATCGATATTTTCAATTTGCCTGTAACATTTAAAAATTTATTGATGCAAGAAGTAATTATAATTTTAATAATACTAAAAATTATTAGTTTAAAATTAAAAAAAAAAAAAAAAAAAAAAAAAAGAAATAAAAATGAAATATAAACCTTTGTACTTTTAATGTGATAAGTTGTTTGATATTATCTAACGTACGTTGTGATACTTTCTGCGTTCGATAATTTTCCACTGAATGAATAGAGAAGAAGCAAATGAAACATTGAAAAATGTTGATAATTTGCTTCATTTTCGATTAAAATTGCTATTTTCTTCAGTAAATTTATCGTTGATGAAATTACGACAAATCGAAATCTGCGCATATACCACAAATACTTTTCATTTAAATGCGCCACCGTCATCTGAGCTCTCTTCATTTCATTCACAGCAACCGGTTAACAAATTCTACAAGATATCACCACCATCATCATCAGTCATCATACTCATCCATTCATTTATCCTAATAAAAAGAAGAAAAAAAAAAAAAAAAAGGAGGAAGAAACTATGTTAAAGTATCTATAATTTTTTTATATAACAAGAACATTTTTAAATTTAAAACCATAACAAAAAAAGAAGATTATAATCAAATGATTAATCTATCAATTCATTGAAATATTTTCCTATGTGAAATTAATTAGAAATATAATTTATTATCTAATAAATATTTCACTTTAAATGTAAAGTGATATATCATTTATTTCCTCTCTTTTCTCTATTTCAAATCTGGGATCTTTCATGCTTAAAATGCATAAAATACAGCTATAAATTTTCTTTTTTTTTTTTGGATTAATTGAAAAATTTTTATGTTATGTAACTTTAAGGAAATTTTGAGGTGTAACATTAAGGTAATAAGCAAATGAGTAGATATTACTTGATAAATCAAAGATTGTATGGTTTTTAAAGCATACATGATGATTGCAAAAGATATTATATAAATTATTATTTGATAAATGAAATTATTGACTCCAACAAACATTTTGATCTTATCGATTATTATTGCATTATACCAAATGTTCAAATGTCGCCAAATCAATTTGTAAACAAAGTACCAAAATTATCAAAAATCGAAAAAAAAAAAAAAAACTCTTCAAAAACCTTTTTGACATTTAAACGATAATTTACAAATATTTTTTGTTCCTTTAATAATCGATAATTATGCAAAGAAAGCATGAAATTTAAATTTATATAAAATGAATTATCAGTTTAAAATGATTAAAAATAAAATTACAATCAAAATTTTTTGTTTAAATTGAACTGACAGTTACCAATAAATCGTAGAAAATTTATAAATTATGAATCTTTTTTTTTAAAAAAAAATTTTGTGTATATAACGAAAGTTTATTGCACTTGCTTTATTCACATTTGAAATTACAATCAAATTTTTTAATGAATCAAACTGATCACAGGTAATTATGAGAGAAAGGGAAAAAGAAAATGAAAATTATCCTATCACTTATTTATTCACATGAAATTGTTCATTTAATCATCGGCAAACATTTTAACATTATCATTATTTTCTGATACATTCTCATCACTCGTATACGACGTGTGTCTCATTGTTACCGTATCAATCTTTCTGGATTCCACCGGAAGATTGAGAACTTTTGCGGTATTTTTGTTTGACATGATAATTTCGGGCATTTCATCGTTATCACTTGATGATGAACTTGACATATCATTAGCATACATTTTATTGGATCGTATGACTGTTTCAGCGTCATGTTCTGATATTGAGGTATTTTTGAGCCCAATTTCCATTGAAATATTTTGAGAATTTTCTTTCTTTAGTATAAGATCATCATCCGGAATGCAAATCATTGAGAGATAATTGCTTTTGCTCGTGTTTGCTGATAGTTTTCGGTTAGTAAAACTGGTTAAATTTTTTATGGAATTGCTAAAATTGTCGACATCTTCGCCAGAATTATCAGCTTCATTAATATTATTCAAAAAATCCACTTCATTTAGTTGAATTTTTGCATTTTTAATCTGGCTGGAATTTTCTTCAAATAATTCTATTTTTGAAGTTTGTTCAGAAATACTAAAAGCATCTGATATATTACTTATTTTTCTGATTTCTTCATTATCACAGTTATCATGTATAACTTGCTCTTTATGATGATCGCTACCAATCCCTAAAATAATTACAAATTAATTGTCTTGAAAAGAAAAAAAAAATTTTTTATTTCTAACTTCCAATTCGATTTTTCCTAAATTTGTTAGTATTTTAAATTTGAATATTATTATTTTACACTATTTTGTGAAAAGTTCATTTTTACTTGTTATTTGTTCACTTTCAGGCATTGATTTCCATTGATCTTCTCCATCAATATCCGAGAAAACAATATCATCCATATTACAAACATTTTCAGTCAAATTTTGTTGAGTGGAAAATTTTTTCGTTTGCTAAACATTTATGCACTTAATTTCAGATTGATAAATTTTGTCGTAAAATCCACAAATAATAAATGTATTATCTTGCTAACTTCACCAAAAAAAAAATTAAATTAAGCAACTTTTTTAACAAATAATCATAAATTTCTTTCGACGTGATCTAATTTTTTGTTTCTTTTTTCAACTCACATTATTTTCATCATAGAAATATGTTTTATCATTGATTAAAATATGTGCAAAATGTTTGATTAGCTTCTGGGAATTTCTATGAATGAATAAAAAATTAATATTTTGGAGGTATATATTAAGAAATTTTGATCTAAACCAAATAACTTATATTGAAAACATTTAAAATTATACCGCTTGTTCAGTTTTTGTTTGCTCTTCAGTTGGATCTATTTTTTTTGCTTCACTGATAAGATTATCCAGTACAACACTTGTTATATTGATACTCTCTTCTTTCAACCTGGAAAGCTAATTAGTCCCAATGTGATAATCAATCATGAATTCATTAAATTGATCATTGCTTTATCATTATTTGTATGTCTGTATGTATGTGTGTGTGTGTGTGTGTGTGTGTGTGTGTGTGTGTGTGTGTGTGTGTGTGTGTGTGTGTGTGTGTGTGTGTGTGTATGGGTAAACTAATAGATTCTCCTAATCAAGTGAAGCATAATTGTTTTTTGTAATTGCTTTTGCAAAAAAAAAAAAAAAGAAAGATAATGAAAATTAGTAATTTTTAGATTTACCATATATTATAATTGTTTGGTTTAATGTCAATTGTTATTTATAAAAATTTTGCTAATTATAATACCTTTTCATTTTGAATTTCATTTCACTGTCATCGTCTAATTCGTGCTTTTCCTCGCTGAAAGCATTTTTGATTTCAGAGGCATAATTGGAAAAGCTTAAATTATTGTGACCACAATTACTTTGATTGCTGGGAAGTGGTTGCTGGGTAACCACAATACCTATAAGAAAATTATGCTATAGAAAAATTAGAAAATTTTTCAATAAAATTTTTGAATTTAATAATTAAATATGGTAGATGTTCAACAGTATAGGTGTATATAAAATTGTAATATATATATTATATTGTTGTGTTCTTTTTTTTTTCTTTTTTATGTATGTGTGTGTTATTTATGTTTATGGTTTATTTGAAAAAAATTAAAATATATTATAAAATTTGTGTAAAATAAACTTATTAAGGAATTGTTAAAATTTTACAACTTAATAAGAATACAAAGATGAAAGTGTAAGATGATACAAATTATTAACAAAAAAAAAAAACTTTTTTTTAAAAATAATTAGAGAAAATTATTAGACCCTATATTATTAGTTAAATTTAGGTACCATTGGATAATGATGAATTATTATTGATTCGTGCAACATCATTTATTTCATTTCTGGTACATTGACAACACCAAAATTTGTACCCTGCTGGTTTCGTATTTTCCGATTCATCCTTTAAAAAGTTATCAATTGACATTGTTTAAGTTTTTGAATCAATGCAATAAAATAGTGTTGCATTTATCCTAGCAATTGCTGAATTCCATTAGAAATAAACCAAATTGTAAATTATTTATTTATTTCTTTTTTTTTTTTTTTTTTTTAAATTTTTTGAGGACATTTTGAAGAAAGAAAAGCCCAAAAGCAATAATAATGACAGTAGTCGTCAAACTTGAAATTACCAACAAGTATAAATAATTCGATTTGTTAAATTAATGTAATGGAAGTGTTGAAAAATAATTTTTTTCTGCTTTTTAGTCAATAAAATTTAATTAACATTGAGGAAATATTTTTTAAATGAAAAAAAAAAAAGAGAAAAAATTGATGCTTCAAATTTTTCTTTACTTCAATTTTTTTTCCCCAAAATTTCTTTCATTTTTTTTTCTGTACAAAAAAAAGAAAAAAAAAAAATAAAAGAAATTAGTCTTATAAAAAGCGGGTTGAAATGGCATATAACTGCTATTAGCTAATGCTTACTGTTTACTGTTTTGGCATACAGTTTACAAAAAAATAATATTCTCAAAATTGAGTAATTAAAGTTAATTAATCTTTTCAATTATTAACTCATTTAAGAAAGTATAATAAATATTGAAAAATTGGATAAAAATTCATTCTTAATAAATTTAAATTTGTTTAAGTTGCAGACAAAAAAAAAAAAAAAAAAAACAAATACAATAGCACTTATAATCATTTGATCAATAAATTATAACCACTAATTGGAAATAATTACAAATTTCTTTTTTCAAATTATAGAGAAACAAAAATTACTAATAAACATATGAATAATGTAACGTATGAACAGCATTAGTTGAATTAATATTAAACATTGATTACTTTAATTACTAATATAATGTAAGTTAAGCTGTCTTACCTGATCAATGATGAAATTAATTTGAGGTTGCATCATTATTATTTGCAATTTTCCCTCAAATGACGATAGATGATGAATACAACTTATAAACTTTCAACCTTTTTGACTTAATATAAAATATGAAATGATTTGCAAGCATTCTGTTTCCAAACGATCAATTAAATGTTTCATTTTAAAGATATTATTGCAGTTTTTAATTATATTAAAATTTCAAATATTTTATAGAGTAATTGTTTCAGCAAGTTTTTTTTTTTTTTTTTTTTGTTCATGAAGGTTGTATCTTTTTTTTCCGGATGAAAAGCATTATACTTTAGAATTTTAGAAAAAGAATTTTTGAATTATTACACTTAATAAATTGTTTAACTTATTTCGTGATTAGATGAAATTCTTCATGATTATTTCAATCAACGTATTTCATTTATCAATTACCTTATTAATTTACCTTATCTTTTGATAAGATGAAAAAAGATTAGTGATAAAGTTAGAATTAAAGTACATTTACTAATTAAAATGATACAAAATATTTCATCTGTATTCTTTCAATTTTGTATAAAATTTTTCCCATCTCTCAAAAATTACAATTCTTGATCATCAATGTACAATAAAATTTTGTAAAAAAGAAAAGACAAAAAGAGGGAGGGAAGGAGAAAGAAAGAGAGAGGGAGAAAGAGAGAGGGAGAGAGCAACGTAATGTTATACTGATAATAACATTCAAATTTAATACAATACAAAAGATGGAAAAAAAGGAGTGTTTAAATTTACATTTCAAAACATTTTGTAAAATTTCATAAGTGATTGCTATGCAAACATTTACATTTCAATTTTTGCTTCCTAAAAATCAATATATTTAATTTTTTAAAATCAAATAAATCCATTTCATAATTTAAAGATTTAAATTTATCAATTTGATAATGCTGAAATAATTCATTTCAGCATTATTCTATCAAACTTATAAAGTATGAAAAAAAAAAAAAAAAAAACAAATATATCATTTTAATAAATGTGAAATATTATTTAACTTTGTTTTAGTATTTTACAGTTCAGCTTTCTCACACTACTTAAAAGGAGTGTTTAAATTTATATATTTTTTTTTTTTTTGAAATCAAATTATTACTTCAATGTATGAAATAAATCCATCATCATCATCATTATCATCATTTTTTTTTTCCATCTTTTCTTCTTTTATAATAATTACAAGTTGGAAAAGATCTTTACTTCAAATGGAAATATAATTTAAAAAGAAAAAAAATTTTGAAATTTTTATGATATACTATTTTTGAAAGGAAGCATACCTGCGCAATGCTTCCCATAAAAGTGAGCAAATTTTAAATCAATCATTTATTTTATTCAAATTTTTGCTCACTAATTAGTTAAACATTTATTTAAATAAAAATCGGAAAAGATATGAAATGGAAATAAAGAAAAAGAGAGAGAGAGAGAGAGGGAGGGTAAGTGGGGGGAAAAAAAGAGAGTAGTTCATTAAAAATGGTTGAAATACAGTTCTATTTTATGAGATATGAGATTAAAGGAAGAGGAAGAATGGAGAAAGAAGGAAAGAAATTGTAATTTGTAATCTGAAATTAAAATGAATTAAAATTTCAATACAAAACAAATTTATTCATATATCAATTAGAATATTATTTGTAATATGTAAAAAAAAAAAAAAAAAAAAAAGTGAAAAATGAAAAATGCATTCATATTAGGCTAACACATTTTGTTAAATTTTTAACCCATTAATGGATTATAATTTTGTATTTAAAAATTTATTCTAAAAACAAATCTACCATTTTATAATTATTTACAATTAAATTAATATTTATTTTGTTTTTTTTTTTCCCTCTCTCTCCTTCTCATATTAATTATTTATAATAAATGGAGAATATAATTTTCGACAAATACAATTATATTTCGAAAAATAACGAAAAAAAAAAAAAAAAACGATGAAATCTGTTTGTGAATTTTTTCATTTTTTTTTTTTTTTTTTTAAACGCTAACATATTTGTGGCGTTATGCTTATATGACACATAGATGGATCAATTATAATGGATAACAAAGTATGAGTAAACTTCTAATCCTTCAATTATAAATTTATATAGAATAATTTAATAAATTTAAAAAATAATATTAAAGAAATTGAAATTTTTCAAGTGATAAATGATACTATGAGAATACTTAACTTTATGCATTAATGATAAACAAAAATTATCTTAGATGGAATAAAAACTAAATCATAAAGTATAAGCATGAAAATATTTCAAAATATTATATTATAAATACATTCAAGCTTCGCTTTTTTACTGCAAAATACATAATAATAATAAGGTTAATGAAGGGAAAAAAAAAGAAAGGGAGAGAGGAAGAGAGAGAGAGAAAAAAAAAAGGGTGAAGAAGAGGAATGGGAGGGAAATATGCGCTGATATCATAATATAAAAATATGGGTTGCTAAGCATAAAATATCAATATATGTTAGTTAAGCATTTATTGGCTTGATTGCATTTAAGCATATTTAAGTAAAATTGTACATTTACTTTAGAAGGGTGTACTTTTGTCTCATTTATTCTGTTAGTTAATTAAAAATAAAAGAGAAAAATGAAATGAAATGTTTTAGCGATAAAGCAGAAAGTGACGCCTTAGAGGGAAATTGGAAAAAAAAAATGAATGATATTGGTTACAATTTGCAATGTGTATGATAAAAAGATGAATGGATAAGTTAGTAAGAGGATAGAAATTTATTCAAATAATGAAATATAGTGGTAAAAAAGAAAAAAATAATAATAATAATTTCAATTTGAAATATTCCGATATCATAGTACTCAATGAAATAATTAAATATTATTTATTTTTTTTTTGGCAATTAACAGTACTAATAAGATCAGTGTAACATATGTTAATCTTAAAATGGTTTAGAATTTCACACACAGGAAAGGTTGGTAATAATAATAATATACTGATAATAATAATAAAAATAATAATAAGTGGTGATAATGAAAGTAAATGATAAATAATATCCGGTTGGAATACTGAATTTAAATGGTGCTAGAGATTTTACTATATTCCATCCAGCACTCAAACAAATTCAGGATCCAATAGGTGTACATCGTGTAATTAAGGATATGAGACAAAAAGAAAGAGAGAGGGACGGGGACAGAGAGAAATGAGAAATGGACAGAGTGAATAATTTAACCAGTTATTAAAATGTTTTAAACCAAAGATTTTAAAATATACCATCGTTCATTTAGTCATTACATGCTTCTGAAAGCAAATTTGTCTTCCCACTTATTCTATCAATCAAATTGTCTCTTTAATAAAAAAAAAAAAAAAAAATTATCAAGAATTCTTGTAACAGTTTAATATTTTTTAAAAGCATTGTAAAAAATGAAAAAGTGAAAGTGTGACATTACTTATCATAAACAATGAAATTTTTTTTTTTTTTTTTTTTTTATTGGATCTGAAAATGTTATTCGTCTAACAATCAATCCATACTAATTATAAAGATGATTTATAAATGAAAAAGCACTGTTACCATATTAAGTTATCAGTAAATATGTAATAAGCACTTCAATTACGCCATCAGATTTTTGCTATTGTATTACTATTTATAACTAAATTGATAAGCAATTTCGTTTCAGTAGACTAAAAAAAGGAAGAAAGAAAGAAAGAAAGAAAGAAAAGGTAAAAAAGAAAAATTCTCACTTTATTATTGAATGATATCATACATTATCGTATTTATAGTAAAAATGAATAGTTAAGAAATTTATACAGCTGCTTTTATTTCATTCATGAAAGAACTAATGAATTTTGATAAATTAAAGGGAGAAAATTTTAGAAATTGGAAATTAGATTTTAAATTTTCCACAAAAGAATGAAAAGAAAAAACAATATCAAATAATAAAATGATATTAAAAAAAAAAACATAGAAGCTAATCATTTTATATTTATGAGAGAATTATTATAGAGCAATTATCATTTTTAAGCTTTTAATGGTGCATATCTTGACAGCATCTCAGATCATCTTATTATATCAGTTAAAATTTATTTTTATTTTTTTATGTAGTTGTCGATACTTGTGACATCTACCATTGAATTGAGAAATTTTTTGCACCGATCAATAACAAATAGAAATATGCATATTAAAAATCAAACTGCAACATATCGATAAAAAATACAATTAATGGAGCATAATAGATTATCTGATTCTATAAACTATATTAAAATAAATTTTAAATTTTCAACATTTAGAATAGATAATTCCAGATGTACGATTTGGATATAATGCCAATGTAATTTCGTCCGCATTGGTGCTGTTTAATTTGTTTGATAAAATATATATTGTTCAAAATTTTATGCTGGGATTGTTGGAGGGAGTATGTATGACAAAAGGGTAGGGGTACACGGGAAACGGGAGGGAGAAGAGATGGGAAATAGAAAACTTGTATGATCAATGATGTTGATAAATCTCTCTGAATAGAACTGAGAGCACAGCTCTCCCTCTCTCTCTCTCTCTCTCTCCTTCTTTTATTACAATCAAATATTTGATTATTGTTGTAATTTCGAAAATTTTCGAGTACAAATTCTTTCTTATGCAATCAGAATTAATGAATTAACATAGATTTTAATAAAGACAAAAAAAGAATTCCAGTAATTGGTACCGAATAATTCTGTTATAAAAATTATTTTTGATAAAAAAAAGACAAGAATTTTAATAATCGATAAGTAAATTTAGCATATTTGAATTGTAAATTTAATAATTTTTGATGCAGAAATGTTTTGGAAAATTTCACAAAAAAAAAAAAAAAAAAAATGTGATGTAATCCCTTTCTCAGTAATGCGTGCTGCTGTTTAATTTGTCTGATAAAAATTTATTATTCAAAATTTTATGCTTACATTGGAGAGGAGAGAAGAGAGAAGTGGAAAAAAAAATATGCAGAATGAATGATATATGAAACTTTTCATTACAAAATTATCAAGGAAAAATTAACAATTTTAATTAGGGATAAATTTTCAATTTTTATTTTTCATCTTTAAGATATAATTTA